CTAATTAACCGATGATTTTGATAAATGGTGGAGACGGGCCTGTACGCTGGTGCCAATGGCTTAACTGTTACTGTAGTAATTGATTAAGTCATGTACCAACTGTCTGTTTAATGTTTTACATGAGTTAAATTGTATAGTTTGAAATACTGACATAGTTGGTGTCTCACAAAAAAGTTGTCGAAATATTTTTGAATATTTATCTTTCACTAAACATTACGAAAACATGGATTTTTGTATTATTACAATACACGTATTCATTTATTTATCATATTTTTAATATAGTACATTTCATATCCAAAAAAATATATACAAAACATATTATATTAAAAATAGAACATCACCGGCTGCGGAATCCCATGACTCAAACAACTAGTGGTCAGGGCTGCAGAGACAGGAACCTTCTCACGATGCGCGCGGTTTCTAGGATAACTGATTTTTGTATCGGGCCCTTAATCCAAGTGTTTAGCGAGTGCTTCTTGAGATGTTGGTCAAAGCTCTTCGCTATCAGTCCATGAAATCGACTACCATTATTCCGATATTATAATATAATTATTTATATAGAAACATATATATTTATGTATACATATACTTATATGTAGCAAAGATGTGTGTTTTAATATTATTGGTGCAGCCAATGTTGACTTGATAACTGTCAGACATCAGGCGTCAGGTAATTAATAAAAATTTTGAAATCAGTTTGCAATAATTAATAAAAAAGTATAAATAATTATTTTATATCGTCCAGCCCGTCTGCTTGCTTGTGTTTCATCTCGTTACAAATGACCGCAGTCCGCGACATCAACGTGTTAATGTTAATCAACACAATATCCGCTTACATTTAAATAATTTAGAAAGTGTATCATAATAACTAATTTATAATAAAACAACACAACAATCTCATATTTCACGTATAAATGTATGTCGCACGTTTAATCTGAAGATAAAAGATTACTTCAAAACATAAGAATTAAACCTTTATTTGACAATCATTTAAATAATATAATAAATAAATAAGGTCAACTTTAGTCATACTAATACACTTACCGTGAGTTTCTGAGACTAAAATCTTTGTATAAAACATATCGTCATTCCTTCAAACAGAGATAACAATATGTTTTAAATAGAGATTTCAGCCTCAGAAATTCACAGTTTTTGTTTTATAAGACCTGAAGGATAGAATGTGCGTTTTATTTATTCTATAAAAGCCTCGAACAAATTATAAACGCATATACATAACAAAACGTTCGAAGACGTTGTAACTGTCAATTTTCGTGTTCCAAACGATCATTTATACAAATTATTATACCATTTAAATTAATATGTCGCAATGTATCAGATTTCACTATGAAAAAAGTAATCGAATTAATATTATTTCGTATTTAAATAAATAATTACATCATATCATGAAATGGTCGCAGCGAAATCCTGACATCAATGTTGATAGCAAAGATGTTTTTGAAAAATAAATAGAACATATCAAACTTTCCTGAGACATTTTTATAAGTAAAGTAAAACCGCTATATTAACTATTTTTGTTTCGCGTAAGTTTTCAAACTCAGTCCACAAATCCAGCCCTGTAATTACTTACCACTAACGGGTCCGACATAAGTCGGTACCACCGCTCGACTGACATTACAAAGGCGGAGAGCATTTGATGAAAGGGTTGTTTTCACAGCCCAAAATACCTGTGTAAAACATAATATTATCTCTGTTTTGTCATTGATATTGTGACACATATTGGTCTCAGAAACCAACGATTAGACATAACGAGTTAGTCGCAGTTTGGTTTTTTTTTGGCTTTACGAAACTAAATGTAATCTCGTAGGTAATTGTACTTAGCAGTTTGTTGCGCTAATCCGTGTCTGTGTGCTTGTTTGTGTGATCTATGAGACATGTCGACATATCTCAGCGTCCAACCGCGTCCTGCCGTGTCCCGCTGCGTCCCGCCGAGAGCAATCTCATTATTTTTAAAACATAGCACACTTAAAGCGCACTATTAATGCAAAAAATTGATATATGAATACAAAAGAAGTGCCTGGAAATGCATGCAGTTGATGTTAAAGCTTACAATTGGGTTTTTTTAACGATGTTTTTAATTTTATTATCATTTCCTTTAAATATTGTAATGCATATCAAAAATATCTATAAAATCCCTTTTAAGCAACCTATTATCAATATAGTAATACAATAAAAAATAAATTCCAGCTTGATACCTTCACGCGTTTTTGAGAAAAAGGGTCTTGACGGACGGACAACAAAATCGGAATCAAATCCAAGACGCCCGATATATTCTACCCGCAGCGCTACCAGATCCTTATCATTATTTATTAAATAAATTTAGTTTGTAAGATTAACAAGCGCCGCGCCGGTAAAAAGTACCGGCTGAGGGCAAACGTAATGGTCTCACTGCAACAGGATTCCTCGCAACTAACTCGATTTATCACACGGATTAATTCGAGTTTCAATGGTACGCACTGCATTTGTATAATTTAGTTAATATTTTAATGTTTGAATTCATGGAATGATTTGCTCTCATACTAATTAGTACGGATGTCTTATACACATTCTTATTGGTGGAATTAATATGACGAAATTAATCTTGTAAAGTTCAGCTTGTTATCCGAGAAACACGGCCATGAAATGTGGAGATTTTTTTTAGTTAGGCCCCTAACTAAGCTTGTCTCCTAAGGCAAGCGATATGAATTTTATTTTTAAATATGCGTAAAAATTGTTTGAAGTTATTTTTTTAAATTTAGAACTATTCACATACGCAATATTATCGTCATAATGCTGTTCATAAGTTGTTTTCAATATTCGAGTGCACGCAACATAAGTTAGAAGGTCTAATGCAAGAGGGTATTTGCCAGTGCTCGGGGCTCGCTCTGCGGCTCGTGGGTTCAACTATACAAAATGACCTATAACATGGCAGTTATTGTAAGCTGACTTTACTACTGTTACACAAGTCGTATCCACTTGCGTTATAGTTGCTGACAAGGAATTAAAGTTTCTAGATGTGACAAAATATTTAAAATCTATATCAGTTGAACATTGATCGCCACCTAAATGGAATTCCATGATGAAAAGGTTATCGCGAAACTTTCTATAAAGCCGCGGTAATATGAGTTGTTCTCAGCAGTATTTACAAATATTTACGTATTAGGGTCCTATTAGGAAAAAATTACTCCTTTCTAAAAGGATATCAAGGTAGTTTCTTCGATGTTGCGGATGTAAGTGTGTGATTAATATTAGGAAACCGCTGTTACCAAGGTAAGACAAGTCTAATAAGAAAAAATTGTAAGCCACATCTAGTTTATTTATATCTGTGTTTGGAGATGCTCGTGTCGTTTGGGTCAAGGCTCGCCGCTCACATGCGCCTGCACCGCCTGCATCCGTACCAAACGCAATCTTGCTAATGTTATAAATGCAAAAGTTTTGATGTATGGACGTTTGTTACTACGTAATTCTAAAACAACCTAACGAATTGGATTTAAACACAGATATAATACAGCTTAGAACAAGCGAATAGGCTATAAACTTTTTTATTTAACGTTAATTTTAAGTAAAGTCGCGGGTCTTCGCTAGTTTCTACTAAACTCCACGTCTCTTGTATCCAACACGTTCTTGTGAAAAGCTATAATTTCCATTTTAAGTATGTCTCGAAGCGAGAAGTGTCATCGGCAGTTAAGGATCTATTTTACAATTGCACTGAGAATGTTTAGGGTTGTCACCGTGTTCTATAGATGACAAGTGTTTCAATATTTGCTCTCCAAAACATCTTAAATTAGAAGGATAGTTAAACTGTTTGTACTTTTAATATAATTTATTTTGTCATGGCAGGTAATTACTGTCAAATAACATCCTTTTTATTTAAACGAATCAATTTATATTATGTACATCTTTATACATAAATCTCAGCGTTATGTAAACCTTTAGGTAAATAAATCTTATAATACATTATCACTTGATTTACATACAAAAACCTTAATTCCAAATGAATTCCATGAAAGTTGTTAACAACCAATAGCGAAACGTGGATTTTAATACAAAAAAGTCGGCTTTAGAAATCACGCATTAATTCGACTCTTATCAGCATTTTAATGACATAGAATATGTCTTAGTAAAATAATTGTACAAATGTCGTACAAGCAATCTACAATACGTTTGCTCATTACGTAATTGCGTATTGGAATTGATAAGTAACGATTTGCATAGAGGAGGAATATTGAGTAGAGCAAGGCGTGCGAGGGAACGCCCAGTCTCATGCTTCTGACACATAAATAATGAACACATCCGGAGTTAAGATAATGGAACCAAAGGTCACACTAAGTGTACTCGTTCCGTACTCGTGTGAAGTTTGAAAATAGTGCGCTACGTTCGTAAATTAAGAAAGCAAATCAATAATTCTATCTGCGTAATATACCGTATTTGATTATCAAAAAGTATATTATTGTTTTTAAAAGCTTCGCTAATTTATTTCTAGCTGATTTGGTGTGAGGTGTCATTCGATTCATATTCTTCTCTTAGTGTTATGTACAGTCAGGGCCGTTCGCGGTGTTCCACTTACAGGGTGTTCGCCAATTTTTGCAAAATAACCAATTAGGTAGTAGTGAGTTGCGCAAACGATGGCATAACAATAAGAAGCAATTAGTGATTTACCACTGACGGAGCTTTTTCCGTACAGACATAATTAAAGTATTCTATTGGCTACTTTTTTGACGACGTCCTCTTAATACTTACGAAACATTCAGATGACTGTCGCTTTGAATGTGGTGTGTCACCAGATTCCCAGATAGTACATTCAGGTGTGATTTGTGGATTTCTATGTTTATAATAACGTCGTCTTCTTCTACAAAAATCAGAAGGTTAATTTCCTTTAAAATTTTCCTATCTTATCCAATTTTACGTTTATGTATTTAACAGGTTTGGGGTATACTACAGAAATAAAAATGAAACTATGTAAGTCGAGTGCATGATTATTTTATTTTGTACGTCTCCGTGGAATGCATTTCTTTACAAAACATTTTGTAAACACAATTAAAAAAAAACACGCTACTTATAATTAATTATATACAAACGTACCACTGGTAAATTACTTTATCTGAGTATGTGATCGAGATTAAATTTCACTATATTGAGTACATAAGAGAGACAAACTAATGTTGTTACTTTGAGCAAATCCATAGGAATGTAAAATACATCGAGTATACATCTCATACAAATATAATATAAAGATTTTAGTAATAAAAATATATATAAAATCAGGTGCAGTTTTAGCATTAACTTACATAATATAGCGATAGTTTCACTTTGCACCCGAACGTACGAACATTTAAAAATCCACAAACGTCATGACAAAAACAATGAAAAAATTCTGCTAAATCAAATAAATTATATTCCAAATTATACAAAAATATATTTATCCATTTGTGAAGCAAAAGTTAGTCACGACACCCGGCTGTACTTCACTGTAACCCAACAATTAACCTATCGCTTACAAGTTACGAAATAATTTATTATTTACAACAGATTTTGTACACGAACCTTCAACCGGGCCTAACTATCTTCAACACATTAAACGCTACTTAACTTACGTATTTGGGATAGACTCTTTAATCAATCGATAACAAACAAACTTCGCCCAAAAAGTCATTTTTATACTTATTTTTAAAATCACAATCCGATTTACTGGCCTTTCTTAATAACAATATAATATACAGTTCATCGTAACGATATTTATTAATGTCTATAAAGGAGACGTCACACTTTGGTCGTCAAGTCTAGAGGGTGCAGTTTGATTCTTTTGATCTGCGTGTACGCCATATCCTCCTCCTCGCTGACGGAGCCGCCCGCGCTCACAGAGTCCCCGTCTTCATTGTCCGGTGCTATAATTTCACTGTCATCGGATCTCCGTCGTGCCGAGCTAGACCTGCCGTCGGACTTGACAGAGAGATCCATGGGGTTCTCCTGGAGCGGCGATTCTGAAGTTCTCCTTTCCGCTGGTGGTGTAGGAACAAATTCGGCTTCCGATATAACGTCCTCCTGTGGTGTGGGCTGAGTCGATCGCTGATGTTTCAAAATCTCGTCTAAGAAGAAACGCTTCGATGAGTCAGCATTGTGATCATCGATTCTCACGTCGTTGTTGTTCTCAGCCGCCTGCCTTAGCGCAGCGTGGTCCAGCAAATGTCTAGAGTATATAGGGTGGAAGCCGGGCGGGAATAGAAGAGGGTGGTTCGCAGCGAACGGACTGAATGGCGGAGGGGGTAAGAATGGCGAATGGGGGAAATGGGGCAAGGTAATATTGGCTAAGGGGTGCGGGACATACGCATCTCTCGGAGGCGTTAGTGGCCTATCCGGCGGCCGCGATTGTGTGAGCCGCGACTTCTCATCAAGTTTGGGAGAGGATCCGCTGCGATGAGAGTCCGGTGAGCCGGAACAGGGTGCTTTGTAGTCGTCGAGCCCAAGTAACGCTAGCTCCTCTTTCGTCCTCGGTCTCGCCAGCCCCGGGAAGAGATGCGGTGGAAAAGGTGGCGCAAGATGATGTGGTGAAGGTGGCACTCTGGGTGGCGATCTCGATTGCGCCGCCTGCTGCTGTTCCTGCAGCAGACAGTGGATCTTGAACCAGTTGGAGCGCCGACCATACCGCGAGCCGGACTTGGACATTCCGACCATGAGACATTTGCGCAGCCGGCACGCTTTGCACGCAGTCCGGTTCTTCTTGTTGATGACGCATTCTCCGTTGTTCTTGCACTCGGTTATGGAGTTGAGGTTGTTGTACGAACGCCCGAAGAATGACTGAAAAGAAAGAAACAGATTGTTTAAATAAGTTGTACAAACACATTCTAAATGTGATTCCATTTACACGCGATGGAAATAAATAGGAACCAGTTTTCCAGAAAATTGTGATAATTAAAGATATGTTAATAACATAAATTACTGTGTAAGCGATAGATTAAGCTCTCTTTGCACGGCCAGTTGGCCACCGCTGCAGCGTGTTGCCTTGAAAGTGAAAACGATGCCTTAAAATTGTCGTGTTCACGGTTTGCCGACGTCATTTCCGTTGGAAATAGGCCACAGGCTCGGTTCCGGTCTGTTAGCCGCCTTTATGTACGGTTTCGATTTGTCTCGACCTTGGGATTTCGCTTCATTATGTAACGCCATTGTTGTTTCACTTAAAAGGAAGTTTACCGTAAACTCGGCCGTCATACTTTGCATTTCTGGAATCTATTAAACTTTCAATGAGATTGGCTGAAAATTTATTCAATATTGTCATTTCTGATTTGTTTTCTTTAGTCTTATAAGTAGAAGTTGATGTATACTAGGATTAAATCTATATTTATAGTTGCTATACTGTTCCTTGACTCGCGTAATACTTTCCAAACCTATGCCATATGGTTGTACAATTGAAAACTAATAACGGTTCTTTATAGCGCATTAACTAATGTGTCTATCCTCGCCTCGGTTACTACAACACGTAGCTGGATTGCCAAAACGAGCAAGGATCACGGGGTGAATGATAAACGACATACGTTTGCAACGATCGCGTCATAGATGAGGAATTTAAACTGAAACAATGCCATCTTTAAACGCGTTGCGCGCGTGCTGTGAATTTTAGTGTCCCCCAAACGTCGCCAGCTACTCGAGATTATAAGTTGGATAGCGCCGGTTACTACTGGCCGGTATAAGTGTCCTTATACTTTTAGAAACTAACAATTAATAAGTATATCTTTATCGTCTTTGCAAATCTTATTGAATTATGGACTTCTAATCAGCTTAATCATAGTCATTTACTGCACACCAAACACAATGACTTGTTTGATAATTAAAATTCAAAAGTTCATGTGTTTGATAAATCTATAATTAATAATGAACTTTAAGTCCAGTGTTGCAAAGTTTAATTTAGACAAAGCACATAATCATTTGATACGGGTATTCCTTTGAATTTAACTTATGTGTGAGATTAAAACTTTATAATAGATTATATTAAACTAATATAAAAGACCTTGCATTGAATGTATAAAATTAAATTACATACTAAAAATTAATTTTGCGATGTAATACAAAAGATAAAGACTTTATTGAGAGTCTCATTTTGTTATGATTTTGAAAGGAATCATTCAAATTCTAATGTTAAGTGGTCGTAACAAGAGACGATGACAACTATTGAATAGTTCCTATGAAATAACAGCAAAAATATATTTATATAACCACGATAAATATATTTAATTATTAATAGAGCTGTTAAAGTAATTAAATAATATGTAATTTGAATATTATTTAATGAAATAACCTCAAACTCTTAATATTTGATTGAGTTCTAAGAAACAATATTGTCAACAATTTATAGTCAAGTTTAATAATGTCAAAGTGTTTGTAGGTTATTTTAGAGCTGAATAATAAATATAGAGATGGACGATCAACATTCAAGTAACCGTGTACGTAGTAATGCGAATGTAGATAAATTTAGTGCGCGGGGCGCGCCGGGCGACAGAGCCAGAGTTACTGCGACCCTAGCGCCACCTGTGACCCGACGACCGGACTATATGTCTAGGCGACAGCGGCGGCCTGAGGACGGCTTGGGGCACCAACTTGTTCCCAACACACGTTTACTTAATGTTTATGGATAACTTGCCACTAAACGGATTCGCGGATTTAAATAATTCCTTTTTGTTTTAAGTAACTAAATTTTAAGTATAATTATTTAGTAATAAAATCAATCTAGCTTTGAATGAAACGCTTCCGTAAACGTAAAACATAAACGTTTGTGTCATTTTTTTTTAGAATTACGTGTTTTAGTGTGCAGCGTGTTTATTTTTTTATAAATTTGTTCTACCGTGTGATTGTATTGATGTTATTTAAATTGTAATCTTTAATATTAAAACCGTCAAAAGTTTTGTGTTGAAAACGATACAATTCAAAAGACAAATCGACCTTGGAGTGGATTAAAAAAGTCGTTTGAAATATATCAAGTAGATTTCCTTACAATGTGAATTTATAATTATATATGACATTTGAGGTCCAATTTAGTCGCAAAAAAAACACTGAAAAGGTAGCAATTATATTTAATCACTAATTTAAATACATTCATGCATGACTTACTAGCTGTACTTGCTAGCTTGGAGTCAAACAAATAACTCGTTTCCTACGATAGGTGGCGCTGCGTTAAGACACTTCGTTTGACGATACCATAGATAATAAATGCAAGGATTATTCTCTTGTTTTATTATTTTTTTACATTTTAAGAACATTTATAAGATGCCTGATTTGATTATTAGAAAGTTATTTGTTTTTGCAAGTTTGTAACTACATATGTCTATTATGTTCTGTTTTTAAGTCTTGACGGCTCGTTTTAAAAGGGCGAAGTGTTCGATATCTTATTCAATATGGTGTACAGAAAGTTATGCTTTTGAAATTTACAGTACGTTAAGTAAATCTGTATACTTTTTTTCTCAAATATACAAGAAAATATTATAAGGACACTTTTATTCTTATGCCATATAAGCTTGTAAAGTCTATAAAAGTTGACACCTCACAAGAAATAGTTTTTCTATCATTTATGTTTTACATTCAACTACAAGTGACAGTAACCCAAATATGGATAACAGATTATAAATATTATTTTAGTTATATTTTTCCAATAACAGTAAAGTTGCTTAGAAAAAGTTTTTGATGATGAAAAGAATGACACCGTCTTTTTTCATCTTCAGTCATAAATCATAAATTAGATATAGCCTCTTTATAAACTAAGATTTCCGTTTTGTGTGTTATATTTTAAATTACAAACAACCATATTCATACACAGTTAAATGTATGGAGATAGTTTGTATGAAGAAATATGTACGTCCAATGTTCATTTATCTTAAAAAGTAGAATTATTTATTGACAACTAAAAATGTATGGTAAAACTTTTTTTTTTCAATAAAAGATTTATTACTTAATATATAGTCAACAATGAATTAGATTGGAGTGTGTGTATGTAATAATTAAAAAAAAAAAGATTTTTAAAATTTTGTTTTGGATAATCTTCGAATGGGTTGGACCCATTGTAATAGAACTTTTACTGGAAGGAAGCTTATTTGTGTATTAGGGAGAAATATATTTTTTATTCTTTGCCGACGAAGTCGCGGGCAATAGTTAGTGAGTAATAACTTTTTAAAAGCAGTCTAGATAATACTTAGATTTATAACTGAGAGCTAAGTGCTAAGATGCTATAACGACTATGCAACGTCTCGAGTCAAGGTTTGTGAAGGCAGCTTTGTATTTAATAGCGGAATAAAGGCTCACTTTTATTATGTGAACGCATTATACGTCTATGTATCGGAACTTATTATTAATTTATTACCGATATTAACTAATGTATAAGGATAAGTTAGATTTATTAAAATGTCAATTTATTGAGTAAATAAAAATGTGTTTAATTTTTTATAATATAGTGTAAATTCTTTTTCATCGAAAATTCTAATATTAAATTCGTCGAAATTTCTAGACTTTTTTTTTTATCAAAAGGTGGCAAACGAGCGAGCGACCACCTGAAATCGCTGAAATAGCGAAGCGACTGTTGCCCATAGACATACGCAATTGCATATGCGTTGCCTACCTTTAATCGACGGAGGAGATGATGCACAGAAAGAAAATATCTTCCCTTTCCATGCATCCTCTCATCCGGAAAGTCCACTTCCACTTCCCATCCTTTCCTTAGAAGAAAAAGGGTGGGAAGGGAAAGAGGACTAATTTTGGCCTCCGGGACGCACACTCATCAGACGAAACGCGGAATTGCTTCCACTTGACGCCTGTCTTCTGTGTGGTCGTGGTATTTCACCGGGCGAGCCGGGCCGATTTGTGCGAAGATGTTAAAGCGGGCTCTACCACTGTTAAAATCCTTCTCTCCATTTGCTCGTACCTTTTAGTAGCGTTATATAGAGTATATATTTTAAGATGACAGATGAAGTATTATCAATTTTATTACACAGATATAAAAATGTTTAAAAACATTTCTACATTTAATCGATTACGATATTTAAATTTACTATTTGTCTGTACAGTATTAATGTATTCGGAAATAGCATAGCTTCGAGTTTACGTCGGCCATTTTCTAAGAACCTATGCCCAGTAGAGGTTTATCTATTATTTGATTATTCAGCGAGGGGATTCACGGGCAAGCTGTTAGCAATTGAATTGTATATTATTGTCCGCGTACAGTTAACAGAAATGCATTATAAGTTTAGAGTAATCGAAATGGTAGACGACTCCTTGTTTTAAACGTACTAGTTGTCGCTTGCGACTCTGTCCGTGAGGAATTAAAATAACCTAATTAGTAGCCTGCGTTCTTGCAGACTTTGTTCTACATCTGAGAAAAATTCGTTCAGCGAGAACGATGCAGGCGCTCTCGTGATACCTTCAAACAAACATCCATCTAAACATCCGCATATATAATATTAATAAGATTAAAACGAATGCGCTAATCGCAAATTTACCAAAAGAAAAGGAAGGTCAGTGTTTTTTGTGTTTGACAACTACATACATTCGTTTCATTTGTGTTAAAAAAATAGGGGTTTTAATTTTTGTTTTATTTTGCTTTGAACTGAAGATAAAAGAATTTCTGACGTTTTTGAATTCATTTATACGTTAGTATCCTTTAGAATTTGCTATTGGCATGATGAGGTCAGCTTTTATCGCAGCAAATACCTAATAGCACCAACAATGTATGGCCCATAAAGACTGGCACAGAGCAAATTTGCTGGCACCATTAAGACCTCATAAAGTAAGGTATAAAAACTTATGGCACGCGTTTTATA